GAATACCTTTCTCTGATAAAATTAAAGTGAGCAACCTTATTGGATAAGCAAAAGGGAGGCACAGCTTTGTAGGCTTTCAATAGCTAAGCCCTATAGACTTGGTCGGTCTTAGAGAAGCCCAGGATCTCAGGAGGGCTTTGAGGAGGAGACTCATGGAGGAAGAGAAGGAAACTTCCGTCTCCCTCACCATTCTCATCAGCCATGGACTCTAGCAGTGAACTGAGACTCCAGCCAGAAGTCTGAGAGTTCTCCAGGTTCGGTTGGAGAATGCTCAGCTCAGGTCTTGGCACAATTGAAAAAAGCAGAGACACACATGGATACAGATGTTACTTGGACAAAACAGTTTCAAAGAATGAAACCGTTTCAAACAATGGGACCCTTAGCCACTGAGAAGAGAGGAAGTAAGTAAATAAGTACTTAACTTTGTGCTAGGCACTGTGCTAAGCACTTTACAAATATTATCTCATTTAATCCTCACAATAGCCTGGGAGATAGGTGCTATTATCCCCATTTTACAGTTGAGAAAATTGATAGAAGTTAAGTGACCTGCCCAGGATCACACAGCTGGTAAATTTCTGAGTCCAGATATGGAGGCAAATCTTCCTGACTCCAGGTAGAGCATTCTCTCCACTGCGCCACCTAGCTGCTTATGGAGAAAAGAGCCCAGGAACCCAGCAGAGCAGCCTAGCAGAGCACTCCATGAAGAAAGGACTTCTAATCCTACAGTACCTGGGGCTGTGAGCTGCCTTTGCCATATATGCATCATCCTATGCATTCCTCATTGCTCTCACTGCCATTATACTCTTAAGTATGAACCCATTCTTCCTATCAATGCTTCCTATCAATCCTATCAATGTCACGGTATGCCTTTGTTTACAGATGGAATGTTTCTAAGCTACTGTCTTTACAATTCCATCTTACTATGCCTTTGCTAAGATATAATGGTATATACTGTTAATGGAAAGCACATTGGTATAGGCTTAGGAGCTATACTCTTAGGAGTGCAGACCCAGAGAACTACCTCTGGCAATTCAACCCACAAGTCAGAGTACAAAAGAGGAAGCCATCCAGCTACTTGTTATATGTGGGCAGGCAAGAGGACAACAATATAAAGAATAAATATATAGAGAAAAAAGGCAAAGAAATTGGTGAGGGAGGGCCCTGGCAATTGGGGTGGGAGAGAAGGGATAGGACCAGGAAAGGCTTTATGTAGAAGGTGAGGGATTCTGTTAGGTGAGATGGGAGTGTGTTCCTGGCATGAAGGATGCAAAGGTAAGGGAAAGGTTGATGTGTACAGAACAGAGAAGGCTAGTTTGGCTGGATGGAAGAGCAAGGAAAGGTGGGTAATATATAATGAGGCTGGAATGATAGGTTGGTACAAGTCAAGAAGGGTTTTAAAAGTTAAACAAGGGGCAGCTAGGTGGTGCAGGGGATACAGCCCTGCGGGCTCTGGAGTCAGGAGGACGAGTTCATATCAGGTCACAGACACATAACACTTACTAGCTGGGTGACTCTAGGTAAGTCACTTAACCCCAATTGCCTCACCTAAAAAAAAAAAGTTAAACAGAAGAGTCTGGCTCATGAGTCAAATATATGTAAAATGCTCTGAAAACTTTTAGTGTTACTACATAAATGTGAGATGGAGTGCCAAGCTCAGATAACAAGCAGAGATCATCTTGGCCAGAACACAGTGTTCATGAAAGCGAGGACATAACATGAAGGAAGTCTGGGAAGGTAGACTGCTGTACTATTATAAAGGAAATAATTTTAGTAACTGAGTGGAGGGTGAATTGGAGACAGGAAATAATGAGGGCCCAGATGAGAGATGCTATGTGGTGAGTGATAATGACTTCAAGTGTGCAGGTGATGGCCTCGGCAGAGGTGTTGTGGTAGAGGAACAAACAAGACTGAATTCAAATGGCCTGAGTCACTGAGATAGCAATCTATCAACTCTCCCAACTTTTCCACATAAATTACTATCAAGCTACATTTCCCTAGCCTGTACCTGCACAATTAATTTCAACTTTTTAAAATGTCTTTTTAATGGGATACTTTACCCTGAACAACAGAACCTATTAAACATATGTTTGGAACTATGCTCTCTAAATGGGGAAAGGAACATTTATTAAGCACCTACTATGTACCAGGCCCTGGGCTAAGCACTTTACAAGTATTATCTCACCTGAGCCTCACCAACAGCCCTGGGAGGTGTTGTTCAGTCATTTTTTCAGTTGTGCCCAACTCCTTGTGACACCATTTGGGATTTTCTTGGCAAAGATACAGGAGTGGTTTGCCATTTCCTTCTCCAGTTCATTTTACAGATGAGGAAACTGAGGCAAACAGGGTGAAGTGACCTGCCTAGGGTCATACAGATAGTATCTGAGGCCAGATTTGAACTTGTGAAGATTGAGTCTTCCTAACTCCAGGCCCAGCACTCTAACCACTGAGTCACTTAGCTGCCCTGAGAGATAGATGCTTTTATTATCTCCATTTTGCAGTTGAGGAAACTGAGGCAGAAAAAGGTTAAGTAATTTGCCCAGTCACACACCTGGTAAGGGTCTAGAGCTGGATTTTGATTCAGGTCTGACTCCAGGCCCAGGGTTCTATCCACTCCGTCACCTCAGTGCCAAGACTAACAGTGTATTAGTTACTGTTTCCCCTCTGTGTATTTTTCCTTGTATACAATTGCAGTTTTGCACCGCTGCGTATCTAGAGCTCTCCTCTCTTTGCATGGTATCACATGTTTTCTGTGTATTCATGGGAGCTCCAGAATTGGAAGGCACCCAAAAGATAACCTTTTTATCTCTTCTAGGTTTGCAACAGCAGTCATCATTAACTCTTCACTCTCTAATTCCCCCTCATTTCCAATCAGCTGCTAAGGTTCGTCCAATACAGCTCCAAAACATTCAGCTTGATGAAATGGATAAAGTGTTGGTCTGTGAGTAAAAGGACCTGGGTTCAAATCCTCTACTGCTTACTACCTGGACTCAGTTTCCTCATCTATAGTAAAATAAAGGTATTGGATTCTTCAGTCTCTAAGCTTTCTTCCAGCTGTGACATTTTTATGTTCTAAGGGTCCTCCCAGATCTAACATTTCATTTATTCCATCAATATGAGGTGGGGGAGGAGGGCTAGTCCTCTGGACTTCTGTCTCAGTTATGGACTTGGAAGTCTAGGGAGGACTCCGCCTTATTTAAATCCAATTCCTTTACAAGTCAGACACCTTCCTGATGTCATTGGTCCTCTTCAAGAACAAAGGGCACCCAACAACAATGGGAGGGGGGGTCAAGAGGGACTCTGGGGTTGCCAACCACAGGAACTACAAAGACAGTGATTCTTTCAAGGGAAATAGCAACTAAGTTAAGAGGAAAGAAGGATTTGCATGAAAATCAATCAAAGAGGGATTATGATGTGCTGGAGATACAAAAACAAAATGCTGTTCTTTGAAGAGTTTACAATCTATCAAAGTAGATAGGTATGTAATTAAGTAAATATAAAGTAATGGGGGGGGCAGGGAACAACTAGTAGCACCTAAGGTCAGATGGAGGCTGGAATAAGAAAAAGGTTTGTGTAGCAAGTAACACTGGAGCTGAGCTTTGAAAGGAGCGAGAGATACTAAGAGGGGAAAGGGAGGAACATGTTCTTCCTAGCTTTGGGAGACAATCTGTGGAGGAGTGGGGACAGGAGATGGAATGCTACCCACAAGAAACGGCAAGGACAATTTGGCCAGAATGTAGGAGGCATGAAAGGGAGAAGGGTTCGATAAGCCTGTTAGGGTAGGCAAAACAGGATTGTAAGGGGCTCAAGATGCCAAACAGAGGTGTTTTTTGGTTTTGAGTTTTGTTTTTTGTTTTTTTAATCCTAGAGACAATAAAGAGCCAGTGGAGCTTTTTGAAGAGTGATATCCTGTACTTCAGGGATATCACTTTGGCAGCTGTGTGGAGGACTGCATAGGATGAGTCCCAACAAGGATATGTGGAGCACTAGCACCTGTGGGTAGAGATATCCAGCTGGTCAGGATGGCCTGGAGTTCAGGAGGAAGAGTCAAGCTTGTAGTAGGTTTGGGAGTCCTCTCCCAGGGACAGCAGAGGGGATCACCAAATGAGTTTAAAGAGAAAAAATCAAAGGTCAGGGTTGGGGGACACTCCCAGTGAACCAGCAGGAGATGGAATCCAAGCAAGGAGTGGTGGGGTACAAACTCCTCCTTGAAACCTCTGATTCCCTTCAAAGGAGGGTTTGCTAATTGTGTTCCCAAAGCCCAGTCCTTTTTCCTTTCTCAGTGATCTATTCCATCTGGCCCTCTGGATTCAATTATCATCTCTATACCAAGTCCTGTTCTCAAGCTTGAAATCTTTCTCTTCATTTCCTGGTCTGCAGGACCCCTCTGCCTAGATGTGCCAGAGGCATCTCAGGCTCTATGTTCTTGTGTCCAAGATGTATCCCAATGTGTTGTAGGCAATTAGATGGCTCAGTAGATAGAGAGGGGCCTGGACTCTGCAAGACCGAAGGTCAAATCTAGTCTCTAACACTTACTAGCTGTGTAATCCTGGGGGAAGCACTTTAACCTCTGCCTCAGTTTTCCCCATCTGTAAAATGGGGGATATCAGCACTTCTTTCCTAGGGTGGTTGTGAAAATCAAATTAGATAATAACCGTAAAGTGCCTGGCACACAGTAATAATATAGAAATATAAAGTGTATTATTATTATTTCCTTCAAGTAGGATGCCAGCTCCTGGAAAACAAAGGCAGTTTCCTCTGTCTTTGTATCTGGAAGGCCCTGCATGCAGTAGGTGCTCAATAACTCCTGCATTGAAGTGCTGGAGTAGCTCAACCTGGCTGGCCAGAGGCGAGGTTAAATTTTCAGGGTAAACACACCTCACCTCCGAATCTGCAAATACTACAATCAGGACTTGGTGCATTGTCGTGTGGATCGTCCAGGCTTAAGAAAGGGTTAACAGTGCTGATTAAACTTAAAAGGATGCCCGGTCTACATCCCTTACCTCTGCCAGGATCCCGTGGTTAAACATTAACCAGCACACCCCAGGCTGGAAGAACCCTTTCAGGTCATCTAGTCCAATCCACTCATTTTTACAGATGGGAAGGCTGAGGCCCAGGGATGCGTCGTGAATTGGCACTGGAAACACACTGGTCGAGCGGAATCCCCCCTCCCTCCTGATCGCCGGATTTTCACAGCAACCCCGCCTTTATTCTTAGGCAGCTTAGGGATCTCAGAGAAGCGGTGTTAGAACGCAAGGACAATGTTTTTGTCCTCTCCGCACCACCGTAGACGTCCCTCCCGGAAACGCCCTTTACTTCCTCGCCACCAAAGCCGCACACCGGAAGTGAGCCTTGCCGGCTTGGGCCGCTCAATGAACGGCCCGCCCCGGGTCCAGATAACATGGTGGGCGCAGGCGGCGGCGCTGGCCTGGGCGGCCTCTTGGAGAACGCGAACCCGCTGATCTACCAACGGTCCGGGGAGCGGCCCGTCACCGCAGGCGAGGAGGACGATCAGGTCCCTGATAGCATCGACGACCGAGAGATCTTCGATATCCACGGGCGGCCGGAGATCCTGCGCCTGGGGAGTTTCGCGGGCCGAGAATCCCAGGGGCGGCGGCGGGAAGTGGAACGAGGCCTGGGGAGTTTGCGAGAGAGGGCCCGGCTGGAAGCGAGGGCGGGACCTGGCGGGGGCGGGGTGTGAGTGGGATCATCCTTAGGAGTTGGGCAGGGATCGGAGGGGGTGGGGGCGGGGCGTTCGATTGGTCATCCTCAGGAGTTGGGCGGAGCCTATGTGGGGTAGGGGCGGGGCCTGAGCTCGAGCCATCCCGGGGCAAGTTGGGCGGGGGCTGGGACAAGGAGACAGCTCTGGAGCGCCCCCTGCTGGCCTTGGCGCAGTAGCGTTTTCCTTCACTCGCCGCGCACACCTGATCCGGTCCATCAATGACCCCGAGCACCCGCTCACCTTGGAGGAGCTGAATGTCGTGGAGCAAGTGCGGGTGAAAGTGAGGAAGGGGATGGGGGGGGCGGGTCCTGCCATCACCTTAGTGATTTCTGCTCCCCTCCCCCAGTGATTTCCCCTGGGAAGAGATGAACCCATCCACAGGGATGCTTTCTCAGTTATTAAATCAACTAGCTTTTATTAAAGAGCCTACTTTGTGCCAGGCACTGTGCGAAGCGCAGGGAATATAAAGGAAAGTGAGCGAGGCTTCCCTGCGTGTGTGTTTATAATGCTTTAAGGTTTAGGAAGTGCCTTCCTCGTTTGTGATGCCAACATCATCCCTATTGTACAGAGGAAGAGACTGAGGTTATTGTATAAATTGTTCTGGTTCTGTTCAGTTCACTTTGCATCATTTCATATATTTTTTTCCAGGTGTCTCTGAAGTGATCCATTTCACCATTTTCTCCAGCACAGTAATATCCCATTACCTTCATATACCATATTTTATTTAGCCATTCCCCAATAGATGAGTACTCTTTTAGTTTCCAGTTCTTTGCTACTACAAAAAATAATAGTAATAGTAGTTGCTCTAAATAATTTTGTATATATGGATCTTTTTCTCGAATTATAACCAAGCAATAGTATAGCACAGTGGATAGAGCACCAGCCATAAAGTCAAGAGGACTGAAGTTCAAATCCGGCCTCAGACACTTGACACTTAAAAGCTGTATGACCCTGGGCAAGTCACTTACCCTGATTGCCTCACCTAAAAAAAAATTCCTATTATCCAGGAGCCTCGCCACCCCCAAACAATTGTCCTTTTCCTATTTTATCTACTTTGCCAATCTGATAGGTATGAGGTGAAACTTCAGAGTTGCATTTCTTTACTCATTATTTAGAGCACCTTTTCCTATGTTTGTTGATAAATTGGATTTCTTCCGGTTTATATCCTTTGACCGCTTATCAAGTGGGAATAGCTCTTCTTTTAAATTTAAATCAATTCCTCATATATCTTAGATATCAGATTTTTATCAGAGAAATTTGATTCAAAGATTTTTTCTAGTAACATGTTACCCTTCTAATTTTAACTGAACTGCTTTTGTTCCCACAAATACTTTTTAATTTTATGTAATCAAAATTGTCCATCTTGTTTTCTGTGACTCTTTTTGATCATGTATTCTTCCCCTATCCGTAGATCCAAGAAGTAATTTCTTCCGTATTCCTCTAATTTATTTATGATATTACCCTTTATGTCTAAGTTATAAATCCATTTGGAGTTTATCTTGGTATGTGATGTGAAATGTTTTCTATACCTAATTTTTACCAAACTGCTTTCCACTTTTCCCAGCAGATTTTGTCAAATAATGAGACCTAACCTTAGTACTTGGGGTCTTTAGGTTTATCAAACACTTTGCTACAGAGTTCATTTGCTCTCTGTGTTACGTGCCAAACTTGTTACACTCACCAACCTCTCTATTTTTTTAACTGGTTGGTAGCAAATTATTTTGATGGTTACTGCTTTGTGCAATAGTTTGAGACCTGGTACGCTAGGCCTCCTTTGATCCTTTTAAAAAAAAAATTCCCTTAAGATTAAGATTCTTGATCTCATGTACATAGAGAATTCAGGGAGGGAAGCAAGGTGAGTCTACCGTGCAGTTTTCCTGAGCAGTTCTGTGGCAGTTTGACCATTGACGGAGCACTATAAGAGCACGTAAGAGCTCAGAGAAGCAGGAGAGCTTTGAAAGGTACAAGGTGAATTTATTACAAACTTCAAAGTAAAGCATGCTGTACATAATAGAGTATCACAGTTTCATGCATGATCACCCCTTTTCTGTTCCACTTTAGATATGGAAATGCTCTTTTTGTTTGGCACTAAGTTCAGAATTTTTTAGAAACCACTCAGAGTCAGCGTGGGCCTTTGTGTCTAGGTATCAGTATTGACCTCCTTGACACTGGAAGAAGAGCCCAGATAAGCAGTAGTTGGCACTCTCTCCTTCTTCTGCAGGTTAATGACAAGGAGAGTACAGTGGCTGTGGAATTTACTCCCACAATCCCTCACTGCAGTATGGCAACATTAATCGGCCTGTCCATCAAAGTCAAGCTGATCCGCTCCTTGCCTGAAAGGTTCAAGGTCAGTGAAGGACATGCATGCTCCATAGCTATGTACTAGCTCTATATCTGACTTGCTAGTTAGCCCTTTGAATACTTTTAAAGGGAATTTGAGTGAGGTGTCTGTCATACTCTGTCCTTTGTGAAAGGGCATTGAGGAACGAAGAGTCATAAATCTCCTCCTAAGTCACCTTGCCCCATGCCCTGAGAGGCCTGGGAGATGGGCCCTTAGCAAGAATCAGAATTTGTTCAAGGCCTTTCAATGGCTCTTTCATTCTTCCTCCCAGATGGATGTTCACATTACTCCTGGGACACATGCCTCAGAACACGCCGGTGAGTATGGGCCCCAGTCCCACACTTCTCCTCCTGGCAGTGCCCTCTCATTCCAATGGAAACACCCAAGAAAGGATAGAATTGGGTTGTTGTTTTTTTTCCCTGGTTTCCATCTACTTGACGTGAGATCTTTCTTCATTTCTGGGGTCTGAATTAGGGCAAGTGACCTTCCCTCAACCCTATTTCCCAAGATCAAGATGAGAGTCAGGAGGAAAGATCTGGATTGAAATCTTGCTACAGACACCCAACTTTCTTCCTGCCTGCCAGTATATCCATTCCCTCCTGACGGGGGAACCTAGTCAGTGGAGGTCTGGTCCTGGAATTGTGTCCCATCTGGGGAGAACAGGCTGCAGGAGCAGGGCAAACAACTGCTGGTTTCCTATTAGATGGTATGGGAAATTTGGCCTGAAGCCTGCTAAATGAACTGGAAAGGAAGAAGGCTGTTTTGGTCAGGGGGACACAGGGAGGCAGATGTGGGGATTTAGGGCTTCCTCCCCAGTCAGCCTTTTGTGCCTGCCCAACAAAAGGCAGATTTGGGCTTCTTGCAGTGAGCATTTGCTAAGTACTTCCTGTCTGCCTAGATTCCTGCTGGATCCTGAGAGGGGGCACAGGAGAAGCATTAGGCAGCTTTCCCCCTTGAGACATTTCTAACCTAATTACTGAGAAAGAATATAAACAATTTAAGAACAATGCTACAACAGTGAGGACGTATTTATTATCATCCTCATTATTACTATTGCTGTTATTATATTACAAATGATAAGTGCTTAGGAAATTCCAAGTCAGAGGACTCACTGTGGATTAGGTTAAACCAGAAGGTTTCACAGGGCATGAGTCCTGAGGATACAGATTGGTGGAAAAGTGAAGATGGTTACTGCCAGGGAGAACAGAATGAAGGAAGACAAGCGGGGCAGAAGGCCTCCATGCGTTTACTACACAGTAAGGAGATTGGCCTTGAGAGGAGGGGGAGTAAGGGTCCAGGCAGGGCCAGTCTGACCCATCCAGAACGGGCCTTGCAGGAAAACGGAAGCCATGGGGAGTTTTGAACAAGCAAGTGAAGGTTTGAATGCCATTTGGGAAGAGTTAGTCTGGTGGCCTGGGCCAGGTGGACCGGAGGCCAAAGACTGAAGAAGCGATGCCAGTTCATTTCCTGAAGTAACCCAGGTATGGGATGACAATGGCTGAACAGGGGTGGCGGCCTGACTGTGCAGATCAGGGAATATGAACAGTGTTTTGAAGGAAGAAACAACAGATCTGGTAACTGACTGGATATTAGGGATGGCTCTAGGATAGCACAGCAGAAAGGGCATGGAGCCTAGAGTCAGGAACTTGGGGTTCTAGGTCTGGCTTTCCAGAGCCGGGGCCTTGAGCCACATCAGTTCTCTCCTCTTGGCGTCAGTTTCTTCTGAAGTGAGGAGCTGGACTGAAGAGATCTTAGGCCATCTACTCCAGCACTCATGTTCTTTGTGCTCGGGTCCCTTAGAGCACACGGTGCCTTCCAGCTCTGGCAGCCTCTGCTCTCAGCCCTCAGGCTGTGGGACCGCCAGGCAGGAGGTGCTCCTGGGGCGCTACTCCCAGGCACCCACCCCACCTGTCTCTGTTCATTTCTTGTCCAGTGAACAAACAGCTTGCTGACAAGGAGCGCGTCGCAGCAGCTTTGGAGAATTCCCATTTACTGGAAGTTGTAAACCAGTGTCTGTCGGCTCGTTCCTAGCTCCTTAGGAGAGGAGCCCCCTCCTGAGGATCCTGCCGTTCTCACCTGTCCATCCGTGTCCTGTCTGCCTTCCCCTCTTCCCCCTTCCCCTCCCCACCCCGTTTGTCACTCACACCCCATTGTGTGTCTGAGGAAATGCGTAGGACATGCTGTGCCCTCTACAGCCACTTGGCAGACAGCTGTCTGGGTGGGCACAAAGGGGTACAAGGAAATGAGTTGTGCCACTGAAGAGGACAT